AAAAAGTTTCTAAATTTCGATGAGAAAAATCGGAAATTTCGAGGCTCTTTGTAAAAGGGTTTAAGCGGGAGTTAGATTTTGTTGCCTCGTAGAAAACGTGTGACATTTTTCAGCCGTGAGAATTCGCCGGAAGATGACGATCTTTGACGTCGCTGCCATTTCCCGGCGATCAAAAGGATTGAAATTTACTCACTTCTTTAGTGTTTTTTGTAGTGAGCTCTTCTCTTCTTCTTGACTGAGAATGGTTTTTCGAAGAAAGAGACAGAGCGGAGAAGAAGAGGAGAGAAATATGGAAGAGAGAGAGAGGTTGAATCACACGCGCGTGGAGGTGAAAGAAGAGAGAGTCCCACGTCGTACGAGAACACAAACGTTACATTGGCTCGTAGTCTCTCTCGCTTTCTCATCATTGGAGCGTTTACTCACGCGCTTTAATGGTTTTGGGGGATGGTTTTTTTTTTCTTTCGAAAATCCCTTTTCTTGTCTCCTACTTTAATATTTAAAAGAAAAAAAAATTGGAACTATTTGGGACCTTAATTTAATGCCTTTTATTTAGATTTTTCTTAGTCTTTCTAAATGTTTTTCTTGTGCTACAGCTTCAACCACCAATGGGAATATAATTTCGTTACTTCATTTAAACGAAAAAAAAAACGAAAATATTGATATACATAAAAAGTGTTTGTTGACAAAAAAGGTACTAGTATATAAGGTATTAAGTTAGATGAATTTGAGTCTAGATGATCAAATTCGGTTTAAAGAATCGTCATTGTAAATTTTAGTTAGAAATTATGTGAACATTCAAGACACTTTGAACATTTTTTTTTTGTATATCGTTACAAAAGTGAAAAAAAAAATGGTGAGTGGGATTTCCATTTGTGTCATATTGTCTACGTGGGATGTGTTCAGAATTTGGGCATAAAAGGGTAGAGTGAGAATTTAATTTTTGTTTCTAGATAGACAATGAAAGACATTAACGCAGAGACTCTGTTGTGTTGACCATTTTTGTGTTGACTCAAAAAAGTACATTTCTTCGTAAATATTTTTAATTTTTTTTGTCTTGAAAATTGTTTAATTTGACTTTACAACTTCCATTTTTTTACCGACAGTTTTGGTTTCCTACTTCCAACCATTTTCTAAAACATTTATGTATTTGTTAAACTCTAAAACAATTTTGCTTAGTTTCTTATTCATTTGCTTTGTATGAATGTTCATGAATCATGTGTGTTATGGCCGTCGTTAGCAGTTTGAAGTCATGATTCATGAATAACAACACCCTTTGTACTCTTCACAACATTCACCTCTTTTTGGTAAAAAGTAAAAATCCAAAAAAACATGTACACACACTAAAATTATGACTGAGGTTCAATATTTACCTAAATATAACTTACTTACACCAAAAGAAAAAAAAAAATTACTGAACAATAGACACATTTAGCTAAATACCAACCAATCTCTAGTACTCCAACAAAGTACACAACGCTTTTCACTCAGCCAAAAACTTAGAATTTTACTTTAATATGTCGTTGATCTACACACACACAAAAAAAAAAAAGGTCTCCCTGGATTTACCCTTGATATGACTTTCATGAATTCGTTCTACTCCTAATCAAATGGAAAGTGTCTTGAAATTGAACTTGCAAATCTCTCTTAATCTCTTTTTAATCGCTATGTCTGTTATAGACCTTTAATTCCTTTTAAACCGATTTTTCTTGTTCTAATAATAGCTTATTTACGTTTCATTTTTACATTTATTCCTTTTCTTTGTACATTTTGTAAGCTTAGATTTGAGATCAATAATTAAAGTTAGCAGTGGAGGTTAGTAGGAGTCAAGTTTTAATTGGTCAATATCTAATGTCAAAAAATCCATAGGTCACAACTGTCTCCCACCTTCTAATGTATGCATGCTTATATGTATGAATGATCCATGGATTTCTAAGTTCTAAATATACAAATTCCAAACATAACTGTATCTATATATTAAAAAGGCAGAGATTTAATTTTCTTACCACATAATTTAGAGCAGTCCTATCCTAAAAGATGGATAGTACTATCTATAAGAATGATCTTGTCTGCTACATACCAACCACCCAAAAACCATGGATTATGATATAAGTTTTTTTTTTTTTTCATAAACAACGTTTGCAATATAGTGATGAGAACTATTAATAAAATTACTTTGCCATAAGTATGATTAACTTAATGTTTTTAAAATGTATCAATATATCATAAAATAACTTCTTGCATTAATCATCAACCTTATAAAAAAAAAAAATATTGCGTTAATTATTTTATCAAAAATTTTACTATTTGCACACAAATCTACAGTTATTTTTGGAATTCACATGTTTATATCCAAGATTTTCTTGTTCAAATTTTACAAAAAGCGTAAAATAATTTTTGAAAATTTTCAATAATCTATTAATCAAAACACATCTCAGCCTAATTAACCACACAAAACACGTAAATGTTTAATGTGTTTGTATCTCCATTAAAATAAAATAATGCTAATTTTGTGAATGAAATTTGAAAAGAAAATGTTTAGTAGCAATAGTAGAATTGAGAGATACTTTCGTGGTGCATGATATATTTTCTTACGTGGAATGAGATTTCAAGATTGATTCCCTGAAATGCATATTTTAACCAAAAATAAGTAAACTGTTGACAGAAAATAGTTATTATGTTAGAAATGTGAATCTTCATTTTCCAATGAGTGACAAATTCTTGAAAATGAAGACCCAATCACTGTAGTTAAATACTGATATTTGATTATTACAGTGACAACGTAATTTGCTTGATTTACAATCTTGTACGAGAATTTCTTTTCTCAACCACTCCACTATATGGTGTTTATAACTAAAATAAATATACCATGTAAGAAACAAGAATAATTGAAATAAAAATAAGGCCACCTTTTATATTGATAGCGATAGTAATTATTTGATAATTGAACTTGGATGGTTTAGTTACTAACATAGCTTCTTTATTTTACAATTTAAATGAACCGCATCTAGAATTAGTGGTAAAACCCAACTAAACTAATCAAATTACAATTTCCCAAATGTTTTCCTGCATAATCAATCACCGATTCACCGTTCTTGAGAAAAGAGAGAAAATTAAAATACATGGAAAAGATGAAGCTTGTTTTTTTTCGTACTAGATTACAGCTGGCTTTTATCAATCACATGATTGAGTGGTTTCTGGTCCCATATTTATTTATATATTTTTTAATTTTAATTTTGATTTCCTTAAACTATAAGACAATGACCAATTAAGTATACGACTCCACAAAAATTACACGACTCTCGTGCCCAAACCCAGACTACTACAATTTATTTGGGCTTTAGTCTATAGGCCCAATGGCTTATTAATCATAGTGATATATTAAACCGGATAACCGGGAAGATGAACCGGAACATCGGTTAAACAGAAAAACCGGAAGCTGAGCTCGTGCCTACCTTCTCCAGGCTGTTTTTTACTTTCGCACCAGACTTCTTTGTTCCGATCAGAAATCTCAAAACCGAAAGTCGGAGCTCAACTGTCGCCGACCACAAAGTCGTTGTCCTAAATTTCTCTCTGCTCCCACATCGAACATTATTGGGAGGAGAGAGAATAATTAGAAACAGCGAGAATAGATCCGAGGAAATTGTCGGAACCAGAAGGAGGAAGATGGGAGATATCTGGGCATGGCTTATTTCCTTCTTCTTCCTCATCGCTCTTGTCGGAATCATCGTCTATCAGGTCCGATTCCCAATTTTTTTTAGAAGAAATAAACCTAAATTTCTCAACTTTTCTATTGAATTTGCCATTTTTTCGCTTATGGTTATAATGATTCCATATTTGACCATTTTGATATAATTTGGAGCCTTGTTGTTTCTGGGTAGTATGTGATTTAGCTAGATTTAGGGTTTTATGTTCTTGCCACATGATTGTAAAAAGAAAAGGTTTATTTTTTTGGGAATGTTATCATTTATCAAAAGTAAATTTTGGGACATATATAGTGTCTGCAAGTGCGTATTGGCTTCTCAAAACACTTTTATTGGTTCAGAATTAGTTCTAATGTTGTATGTTCATGTCTGGTCTGAGAATTTACCTCCTTAAGCACAGGTTGTTCCTTTATAAATGAGCTCCACTTCGGCATAATGAAGTGAACCCTTTAGTTTTTGTTAGTGTAAACTCTAATGAGAGGAGTCACTGATATTGATAAGCTAGCAAACGGAATCTTCAGACATTTTCTAGGAAGCTAAATTCGCTTACGGAAGTTGAAAATCTTGCATTTGCAGCTTGTTTGCTTAGCCGATCTCGAGTTTGATTACATCAACCCTTACGACTCTGCGTCGAGAATAAATTCAGTGGTTTTACCGGAGTTCATTGTTCAAGGAGTTCTATGCGTATTCTACCTCCTAACAGGGCACTGGGTCATGACACTCTTATGTCTCCCCTATCTCTACTACAACTTCCAACTGTAAGTCTCTTTCTGTCAACTAATATCAATCTTTTGCTCCAATCAAATGTTGATATATTGATATCCATTTGGTTTGATGTATTGTTCAGTTACTCAAAACGACAACACTTGGTAGATGTCACCGAGATCTTCAATTTGCTTAACTGGGAAAAGAAGAAACGGCTGTTCAAGCTTGCTTACATTGTCCTTAACCTCTTTCTCACTATCTTCTGGTAACGAGAAAAGATCTTTCTTTCGAATCCCTTTTTGCTTAACCATCTTCATTATAGATCAAGACAGCTAAAACACTTTCTGTCTGCAACTTTTTTTTCGTAGGATGATTTATTCGGCGCTGGATGATTACGAGGACTGACTAATGAAAACATGGTCCATCTATCATCTGATCGACACTGCGCTTAAAGATACAGCAACATGCTCGTGGACATGAAAAAAAAAAGAAATGAAAAGGGTTTGCTTTGTTATATGGTTCGATGTTTGTAAGATTAGTGGCAGGAAGATTTGTGTATTTATTTTTAACAAAAAAAAAAAAAAAAAAAAGATTTGTGTATTTATTTCTTTCTTAGAAACATGTTCAGATCCTGAGTTAACTGTTTTTAATGTTATGTCTTGATCATTATTTGTTCAAGCAATCAAGCTCGTAAGCTACTGTGGTTACAGATGCAATGAAACTGAATAATTTCAAATGTAAGAAAAACATGTGAATTTGACTTAAAAAAAAAAGCGAGAAACCTTTTTTGAGTGATGTAATAAACGAGGATGTCCAAAAAACTCGAGAACTTTAGAACCTTCTGTTTCTGTTTCAGTTTCAGTTTCAGTTTTGTAATTAGGTTATCTGATAGAGCTAATTCTTCTCCTTCACTGTGACAATCGTCGTTATCAAGGTGATTTCTTTCTCTCTTTCTCTGCCCCAATCTTCTTCGTGTGGTTTCACAGGTGTGTGGTCGATCTCTAGAGATCTGGTTCCATCCTAGATTTATTTGGTCTGTAATCGTAAAGTCTTAGATTTGGGAATCGACTACTGTTGTGGTGTTTAGGTAACGAAACCCTAGTTATGTAATCGTTGCATCTAGTAATTAGGGTCTTTGAAGGATTAAGCTTTCATTTGCTTATATTAATCCATCTTTGTTCTGAGTTTTCGAGAATGTTCTTGAGTCTCTTTTGATGAAAATTGAGCTCAGATTATTTTTACAGGTTTTACATCTTTCAATGGTTAATGCAATCAAAGGAGTGTTCATCTCTTGGTACTTACTTACTGTTCGTTTCGTTTAGATTCCTAAGCAAATCTTGATAAACACAACTGAATTATGCAATGTTTGTTGTTTCTGTCTTTTGTTTGCAGCGATATTCCGATGACACAATTCATAGTGAACATGAACAATTCGATGCCTCCGTCTCAGAAATTCATAATTCATGTGCTTGATAGTACTCACTTGTTTGTGCAGCCACATGTTGAGCAGATGATTCGCAGTGCCATTTCTGATTTTAGAGATCAAAACTCTTACGAGAAGCCCACTTCTTAGATCAATCACATCACACTCGCATGCTTCTTCTTTGTCATTCATTTGATTCAAAAATGAGTTAATCATACTCTCGGACTCATTTTTTTAGAGTTACAGTGAACTTTGTTGAGAAATAATCTCTTTGTACCGGGTTTAGTTCACTCGGTTTTCTAAACTATGCTTGTTGTGTTTATTACTTTCTTTTGTTATTGTAATAAGATCTCAACTGTCAATTACTTGAGTGAGATAAACAGTTTAAGGAATGTTCAAATTTGTTTTTACTCATGAACCAAAAAATCAGAAACTAATTTAAACCACATGAAATTTGCACATATAAACCAATTCGGTTAAAGCAAACCAATATGGTTGATAAACCAATCTTCTTGAACAAATTACCCAATCTGTGTGTAAGCTTTTCCCCTTCTTCTAGTCTAACAAAACAAACAAAAAATCAGTGTTCGGCTCTAACACGCTCGACGACCATGGCGGTCTCGTTTAATACAACGCTTCACCAGCCTTCTCTGAGTCCGAGGTAATCTTTAATTTTACATACTTTTGGTCTTTGATGATATATACATTCACTTGCTTCTGATTGTTTTTGATTGGTTATTGCAGCTGCAGCATCAAGCTTTATTCTGGATTAAAGCCTCAATCTGCAAGTTTGTTCCTTTTCTTCTTAATCTGTCCGAAAGTTTATGTCTTTAATCGAATTGGTCCGTAAGATGCGAGGGAACTGATTTATTTGGTGTTACTGTTGTCGGAATTTGTTCAGGCTTTATAACAAGTGGGTATCAGAATTTGAATAAGGAGTTCTATGGAAGAGTTCATAAGAGTCTGCAATCAGGGTAATGTGAATTCTTCTTTTGCTGAAATGATTCGAGGCTTTGGTTTTGCTTGGAGGCTCCTCCTCTTGTTCAATTTTGCTTAAGATTTAGGGCTTTTTGCTGCTCCAATCTGGGAATTTACACAACTTATACTTGATTTGTATTGGAAATTCCTGTAATGAATGATGATATGTGAAAACTGAGCTAAAGACTTATAATACATAACATGATGCGGCTTGTTGGTAGTGAATTATAATTAGGTTGGTTTGGTGATATTAGAACTCGTGAGAGCGGTCATTTTTCGTTAAATGTGATGCTTCATTAGCTTTGTCGTTCGTGGTAAACTCAGTGTGGTTTCTGTATTCTGCAGGACTGGGAAAGCGAGCAGATCACGGGTAAAGATGATGCCAATAGGAACACCTAGAGTGCCCTACAGAAACCGAGAAGAAGGCACTTGGCAATGGGTTGATATATGGAATGCCCTTGTATGTATATTCGACTTATACAGAATCTTGTGTATACATTTTACATGGTCACTGTGAAAGTTGTAATTCAATATTTGTTGCAGTATCGAGAGCGCGTAATCTTCATTGGACAAAACATTGATGAAGAGTTTAGCAACCAGATATTAGCAACCATGTTGTACCTCGATACTCTTGATGACTCAAGGAGGATTTATATGTACCTAAATGGTCCAGGCGGCGATGTAAGTTTCTCTTTTGTTCATTACCGTTTTTGTTCTTTGCTTATCCTTCTCTATATGTTTAAGCTAAAGATATAAAACGTTTTGTATTTTTTGTAGCTTACTCCAAGTCTAGCCATCTATGATACAATGAAGAGCTTGAAAAGTCCAGTTGGGACACATTGCGTTGGGCTTGCTTATAACCTTGCAGGTTTTCTTCTTGCGGCCGGAGAAAAGGTTATTTCTTTTCACATTTGTTGAATCATCAGTGCATCATTCTCCATACTTTGAATGACTAATGCGTATTTAGAAACCAAATAAAATGTATATGCTAGACTCTGGGGACACTTAAACTTGGACTATTGCTTTTTCTTTTGCTGTGTAAAGGGTCACCGATTTGCGATGCCATTGTCAAGAATCGCCCTCCAATCACCAGCTGGTGCAGCCCGTGGTCAGGTAAATAAGCCGCCTTCGAGTTTTGTTCTAGTGAAACCTTTCAATATTATGTGATTCATTATTTCAATTGTCAACGTATATACTACAAACTTCTCTCAGGCTGATGATATCCAAAATGAAGCAAAAGAGCTTTCAAGGATAAGAGATTACCTCTTCAATGAACTAGCCAAGAATACTGGCCAGCCTGCGGAAAGGGTTAGTTTTGTTTTCACAATCACCAAATCCAATAGTTTTTGGTAAAACTTTAAATTCTGAGTGCATATGATGATGATACAGGTCTTCAAAGACTTGAGCCGGGTGAAAAGGTTCAACGCAGAAGAAGCTATCGAGTATGGACTTATTGATAAGATTGTTAGACCACCGCGCATCAAAGAAGACGCTCCTCGCCAAGACGAAAGCGCAGGTCTCGGATAGTCTGTTAATTTTGTTTATCATGTCTGAAATTTTATGATGTTCTTGTGATTGTGATTGTTACCGAATAAAATCACTTTTATTGTTTTTTCATTCCACCAATTTTATGGGTTCCTACAGATATTTTAAAGTGATGTGTAAGATGTAAAGGGAGTGACTTTCCTGGAAAATTCAACAAATAGTCGCCATTACAGAAGCTGAAGCAGAACCAGACATGAACTCTTTGCTTAATAGTTAATTCTCTGTCTAGCTTTCTTGTCTTGTTGGTTATGTGGTAGATGACTCCCCCCTACCAAGCTTATTGTTCAAACCGAAGAAAATTGGCCGGTTCAATGTTTGTTTAACTGGGATGTCCATCACAAGTTAAAATATTTGGGGAAATTTGTGTTAGATTAAAATCTGATGAAATAGACAAATATAAGCTTTGAGAGGGAGGTTAGGGAGAGGATCAAGTAACTTGTAGCAGTAGTACAATGTGAAATGGTACCACCAAACCCAATACCCATGATTTCTCAGCCTTTGTGCAGATGTTAGTAATGGGCCTCTATAGAAATCTAAATGCTAGGCTTGAATATGTAAGAGTGAAAAAGAAGAGACTGCAAGATTATACTGCTTTCCACTTTCTTCCTTGGCGATGTTTCTCTTTCTCAGGCCTCAGTGATCTCTCCATTTGGCCTCAGTGATCTCTCCATTTGGAATCAGTGTTCTGTAATGCCAATCATTCAACATCAAACTGTTAACCACATAAGATTTAATTTGTTACCATTAAGAGCAAATTAACCACCAATAGCATCAACAGAGATACCAAAGGATTTGTTACCATCAAAAAAATGATTCACCACTAAATTTTTTTTTATGAAGGGATAGTTTCGGACATCCACTAAAATGTTGTATAAGTGAACAGATGTAGATTGAGACACAAAATATACAGCTTTTACTCCATAAATCTTAATCTCTATAAAATAGTTGACGTACAATAGCATAAAAGCTGTCGGTAATATTGCATAAAACTAATTAACAACTTAGACCTAATACATGAGAACGACACCAAATGTATTAATTATTGTAGATAGATGGATCATTGGATCAAACATTTCCAAAAAATAATACTTTTTAACAAAATCTTTTAGACTTTTACAGGATTGGAGATGGACATATGGTTTTTTTCAAGATTTTGAATTTGAAAAATGACAATCTCAGCCATGTTTGCAGCTGCAAACAGAGCACTTTCTTTGATATATGTTTAGGGTTTCTGAATTCAATAAACGCTCTGATACCAATTATTGAATTAAAATCCTAGAGTATATATCTATGATCAAGGACTTGTGTTTATAAGAACACCTTTTCTTATTACTTTTGAAACTAACTCAAAACAAAAGTACACAAATCTCTCAATCTCTAAACTCTCTCATATGACATACCACATCTTTGGTAGTTCATATTTATACACACAAAACATAAAACCTAATCGTTAAACCGACTTGTTTAAACCGACTTAGAGAGCTTAGGTAATATCTTGTTTTTAGATAACTCCTAGAAACCTTTTATCTTTTATCTCAAGTTAACTACTAATCTCTAGTTAACCTCTTTGATCATAAGCTTCTTAACTCAAGCTTACTTCAACAGAGAAAAGAGACCCGATGTATCATTTCCAATTACTCCATGAATGAATCACCCCACGAAAAGTTTTATTGGCTACCTACCTCTATTGTCCTTTTTCTTGTTGGAAAATTATGATGGAAAGTTCCAATATTCAAAGTCTAGAACATATGACTTTGAGATGTGTCTTTAGTCAAGTGGTTAAGTCCATTTGACTCCGCCTTCCCTACCGGAGTTCGACTCCAGTGAGTCGCGTTACCCCGCGTAGTAGGGATTGGCTATGGATCGGGCCTTGTCGATCCAAAGATGTCAAAAAAAAAAAAGAACATACGACTTTTTTTTTGGTAATTTATCAATGCGATTTCTTATTTTCCAACAAACGTATTTTCATTAAAGATAGATCAAAAAGGCCATTATACGGCAGAAACATTCAACATAATAAGAGATCATTTAAAAAAATTTAATTTGAAAATTTTTCAATCAATTTTCTAGTAAACTTGCTTAATAACATTCATTGTCATACGAAATATGGCGTGATCGTTGGTAAGAATGTATGAAGATGTTTCGCCTCAAACTCATGGCATGGGACATGTGTTGAAAAATCATAACCACATCTTGGCGTTTCCATAATTGGAATCCAACCTGTAAACAATATAATATTCCACTAAGAAATTACAAGTCAACCACTAAGAATCTAACAACACACATAACAAAACAAATATTAATAATTAATCTTAGAAACTTTTGTACAACCTCTTCTATAATCTAAAACCCCACAATAAAAAAAGAAAAAAAAGTAAGCAATTTCTGAATTTCTAATCATCCCTCTCCTCTTTTTCTCTATTTACAATAACATGACATGACCAAACCATCACCTAACTTAAAATTTAACCTACCAACCACACCGATGAAAAAGTTTATCCTTTCTAAGGCACGCTGACTTCTTGAACAAAGTCCGCGTGCCTCTCAAAGGATGAATTTCATCGTGGTTCGGTTAACCAAAGATTTGAATGATTTAAGAACATGATTTGATAAGACCAAAGTTGAATAGATTTCTCCAAACCAAGCTCCCAAGTGAAACCAACACTGCTTTGGTCTGTTGTTCTTCTCCATCTCCCTTCTTATGATTCATTGTTGGCATTTCCTTCACTCTTAAACACTCCAAACCGATTTTCTCCCTAACCGATTCAATCAATTTGAAGTCTGGTTCGTCTCCATTTGCATCAGTTACATAGAATATGTTTGTAGCCATCTCGCTACTCGTTGATATCTCTGTTCTTGTAACATTCAGACCGTTTTCTCTGAATGTCCGCGTTACTTCAGCTAGTAAGCCTTGTTTGTCCGGATGCCTCAGCTCTAATCTCACTCCCTAAAGACAAACCAAACCAAAGAAACATTTAGATTTTTGATTAAACAAAAAAAAAATCAATCATTTTCAGTATAGTGTTATACCTCTAGTGCTCTTCTTTCGACTGCAGCTTCTAAGCATAGAATCACTCGTTGCCTCTCTGCCTCCGAACTTATCGGTGATCCATCCTTATGCCGAATATAGAATTCCTGAACAGTTAAATCAAACAAAGGAAAGATCTTTTAGCTCAAAATCACACAAAAACTCTCAATTCAAACGAATTTACAGAATCATTTCAAGGAACATACCAAGTGAGCTTGGTCTTCAGCCGTGTTGATAGTAGCATGGAACACGGCATATTCCATATCGGTTAACGTACAAACCACATCGAATAGAAGCTTGGTCCGGTCCCGACAATGAACATTAACGACAGAGTAACCCCTCTCAGCCCAATTCTGAACCGTCACAACCACCGTTGGAGATGTCTCCTGTTTATTGGATCTCCTCTCATAGTCTCTATCTTCAAACATTAGCTGATGAAGTCTACGTTCTATGTGCATCATCGAATCAACAGAAACACAAGTCTTTGCAGCAGAGTTAACATCGTTATCGCCATTCAAAACGTTCTTTAACCGTCCCTCGATCTTTGATATCCGTTGAGAATCAAGAATCGGAGCTCCAGAGCTACCATCTCTGAGATAGATCACAGAAGCAACTCTACCATTATGTGTCCATAGCTTAGCGTCAACCACATCACAGTTGAGATCAGAGAGAACCGCAAACATCTCAGACAGTAAACCGATTCGGTCTGTTCCGGTTAACTCTAAAGCTGTTAATCCGTTTACTTCAATGTTTTCTCCATAGTAAACCGTCTCAATCGACTATAAAAATCAGAAAATAAAAAGATTCTATATTTAGAATCCATGTTCTTGAAATTTAAGACACAGTTTAATCATCAAATTCATGAATCTTTAAAATTACCTGTTCAATGTATCTCAAGACGCTCTGGTCATTCAATTTGTTTCCGTTTAAGTCAGTCACATGAAAAACTGCAGTAATCAAGGAAATCGAATTAGGAAACAAAGTTATAAATGTAATAAGAAAGATAATATTATGATTAATAGAATTTAAATGTTATCCTACCATCCATGTTCCATCTTCCATCAGAAGAAATGTAAGCTTTTTTAATGGAGAGATTCAAATCTGTGAGAATTTGTACAGCTTCTAACAGTATCCCATTTCTTCTTGAACTATCAACCTGTGGAAATCCCAGGAAAAAAAAGATTAAACCTTTATATTCATATAATGAATAATTTGCTATTATGGTTAAAATTTAATTTATTAAATACTAACCTTGACGATTGTCGCTGAAGAACAAACACCATTGTCGATAACGACCCTGTAATAATAATGTAGGAAATTTTGTTTTAGAGTTTTCTCTTTTCCGACAAAAATAAAATTTATTATCTCAAATAATGGGATTTATTTATCAATTAAAGTTTAGAGAAGATAAGTCCTTAAAAAAAATCAAGTTGATGAAAAATAAGGCCAAGCAAAGAAAATTTGGAAAATCTTCTAGGAGGAAGACAGAAAGTACAAACTTTTAAATATTTTATATATTTTTTTTTGGAAAAACAAAAAGTAAACTAAACGATGACCAAAAAGAAAAAAAAATTCAAATTTCAAAACTCAATTGTGAACATTTGAAAATAATTTCATATTTTTTCCCGGACTGATACAAAATAATATTTTCCGGCAGAATTTTCCCACCAGAAAAATAAAACGAGGCAAAAGGGCACCCAATTTTCTGGGTTTTACAATTTTAAAGCTCTGTTTCTTAAAAAAAAAGTTATATAAAAATTAAAACAAAAAAAAAAAAACAGAGCAGAAGAAGAAGAAGAAGAAAACAAACCTCGGAGTGTTCATCCTAATAACAAGCTTTTCATACTCATCCAAATAACCCTTCATCGCCATATCTCTCTTATCTCTTTCTCCTCTCTAATACAAACTAATACGCCGTCGTTTTCAACCTCTGGTTCTTCTTCGTCTTCTAAAGACTTACAACAAAACACATCTAAAATCTATTCACCAGCGTTTCTCTCTAAATGAACGGTGCCGTTTTTATTGCTCCGTGAAACTGTTACTTTTTCTCTCTCTCTCTCTAGATGATAGACAAAGCACGCTTTCACATAATCCTTCCATACACTGAACTCCTTATATTTATATATATATGGATAAAATAAATATTTAATTAAGTTGGTAACATATCTCTCCAAATTTTAGAAAAGAAAAGTCACATAGATCACCACGTCTCACGCATGTTACTAATGCTAAAAGTCTTCTTTAGTTGGACTTATAATGTTTCATCTTTTTTATTCTTTATCTTAAACCTTAAAAATGCTTCTATAAACATCTTCCATTTCCTCTTTAAAGTTAATCCATTTATCTTACTATTAATTCTTACCAAAAAGGATATTTAGTTTTTAGTCAGTCAATCCAAATCTTTTTATTTATGGTCATTTATATATTCCATACAAAGATATCTCCTAATCTAATTCTTCCTTCAAATATTTACTTCTACTTTCACATATTTGGTTCCAAAACACAGAATAATCGAAATCAAACCAAATCCCAAAAATATGGTTAATTAGCTATTAAATATTCCCGGAATTAGTTAGAAATCCCATCATAACTCATAAGGGAAACCAATAAAAAACCAACCATCCCTCCACGTGTCAATAGATACTTAACTCTGGTTGTTCAACTGTCCAGCTAGGACGCCATCTGTCTTTAGACCTAAGTGGTTCCTCCTTGACTTTGCGTGCATTCCACTCTACCATGATCCCTCCCCCGACAATAATCGATCTAACGGCCATGGTAGGCCACGTGTCCTAATCTTAAAGGCCCCACGTCTAATGATACTCGCTTCGTAGCTAAGATGAGAAAATTCTTTTCTCGTTCATCGATTCACACACTTCATTACATTGGCGCGTGAA